CCCCCAGGAAGGTGCAGAGGAGGAAGGGAGAAGCCGTTCACCCCTGTGCTGGAGGCAAGGGGGGAGCTAAGGGGGTACTGAAAGGCTGCCCCAGCAGCAGCACACCCCCCCCGCTGCCTTCCCGGCCCCACTCTCCTTATCCCTGCTCCTGGAGGGGGAGGACAGGGAAAGGGAGTGGAGCAGGGCAGCCTCCAAGCTCAGCACCCTGGGGACAGAGCCAGCCCCACCCCAACGAAGCAAGCCCCTGGGGGAAGATGGTGACAATTTTCTTTGATCTTCTTAGCAGAGACTGGGGTCCTACGTCAAAGGGAAGGCAAACAAAAGCCTCCAGGGAAGAGCCGGCCCCTGCACGCCCTGGGACTGGGCACACGGGGAACCCTCCGTGCCCCAGGGCACACACGTGGCATCACCAGGCGGGGAAATGGGAGAGCCCTGGCCAACAGAGGGAAGGGGAGCAGCCACTTCAGTCCCCATCACATGCCTGGAGGAGGCTCCTGGTGCTGGAAGGGAGGGCAATGACAGGCGCAGGACTTGGCCACAGCACCTCCCATCCCGCTCCTTCCCCAGTCCACTGAGGGAAGGGGACCAGCACAAACCGGAACAGCCTCCATCCGTAAGGAAAGGGGTTAGAGCAGCAGACAATTCAGGCACCAGCACTTCCAAGCTGGGATGAGGCAGCCTCTGACAGCTGATGCACACACACGGGGATCCAGTGAAAGTGCAACTTGGATTTCCTCTTCCTTTGGAAGAGCCCACGTGCGATGAGAAGCCGGGGCCCCCGCCTGGCTAGGGCGCCCGGAAGGCATTGGTGGCAGCAGCAGCAGCAGCATTGGCCGCCGCGGTGCGCACCGCCTGGTTGGAGAAGACCCCTGCGGCAAACTCCTCCTGTGCTTTCTGGAAGCTGGCGCCCGTCCGGCGGTACAGAGAGTGGATCTGGAAGAGAGCGACAGGCTCAGGGTCAGCGCATCGGCCCCGTTCCAGGCCCCTGTGACCAGAGCTGTGCTCCTGCACCTGCCAAAACCCACCCTCGTCCTCCCGACGGGGCGCTCTGGCCCCGAGGTTCAATCCAAACTCACCTTTTTCAGCATAATGATGCCCAACACGGCCACCGCTGTGAAGAACAAGGACACCAGGATCATCATCACAGCCACGGCTGTGTTCTTCCGCAGCGCTATCAGGCTCAATATCCAGCCACTGCAAAACAAGAGTCGGTTGCCCACAGGTTCCCTCTTTTCCCCCCCCGCTCACCTCCTCCCATTCTGGGGTATTTGGCTGGCCGGGGTGAGCACAACTCGCACCTGAATCCCCAGTTTGGGATGCCGATCGCCTGCAGCACGTACATCACGTTCTGGGCAAAGAAGACGAAGAAGAAGACAAAGAAGTTGAACGAACTGTCACTCCTGGGGGGAAAAATAAATAAATAAATAAATAAGATACAGGCGAGGTTAGGCCACAGAAAACAACTCCCAAACCTTCCCGAAAGCGGGGGATGCAAGGAGAACACACAGCCCCAGAGGTGCAGCCACTGGTTAAGGGACTTAACGCAAGGAGATACCCGAGGAAGAGGCATAAGGCAGCGCAGGGATCTCCAACAGCAAGGACCACAGGAAAACACATTCCTGTGACCTCCTTAGAAGAGCCCCGTCCAAAGCAAGATTTGTTCCCCAGCCAGAAGCTCAGTGCAGAGTCACCGCATCCCCTGGACCCAAAGGCCACAAAAGGAGCTGGGACACCACTGGTGTCGCGCTCGGGGCGAGGGCCTGTTCTGCCGAGCAGCCCGGTCTCCCCTGCTTCAAGCACCAGCCTTGCAGCCATCCCACCCCGCTGCTTTGCTGGCCCCGGAGCTCGAGCAGATACACACCTGAAAGCTTTGTACATCGGCCTATACCAGCAGACAAAGGAGCACGGCGTGTAGAGGAGAGCCCAGAGAATAGAGAGGCCGAACCCAGAACCGGACGAGGGATCCACACAGAACCAGGCCAGCGAGGACAAGAAGTTCAGGAAGAGAGCAATGGTGCTGGCTGAGGGAGAGGACACTGGTCAGGCAACCCGAGCAAGGCTCCCCCCTCCCCACGCCAAGGGCTCAGCCCCCCAGGCACCGCGTGGTGACCACAGCTTCTCCGGAGCAGCAGCGTTCACACAAGCGTGGGGGACACTTGTCCCTCTACCCCCTCCCAGGACCTGCCCTGAGGTGCCCCGCAGGGTCTCACCCATCCAGAGGTAGTACATGGTGGAAACGGTCTTCTGGAAGTCAGCAGGGATCTCCACCGGGATGTCCTGGTAGAAGCAAGGCTTCACGGGGCAGAAGGAGGGCAGCGGGGGCCAGTTGTTCAGCCTCGCTGCAGAGGGAAGGAGGTGACAAGGAGCCAGCGGCGGTGCCCGAGCAGGGGGCCCGGGGG